AGTTTTTTTTTTTTTTTTTGGAAGTGAGGGGTGTTGGATTAGCCACATATCCCATTCCCATTATGGACAAGTAGGTCATACTCTCTCATCAATCTAGATCTTGACTAATTTAGCTAAATTCACTTGCTTAGACATGTTTTCATAATAATCGTCATGACCTCTATAAAACTTCGATTTATATGATATTTGTGACAATTAATTGCTCCTCTGAGAAAAATATTTTGACGCAAAAATAACATACTATCAGAATCATTTTTTGACATTAAATTTGATCTTTATGCCTTCTAGAAAATATTTACTTCAAATTTCAAACCATTTAATGAATTACATATTACATGCCTCTTGAGTAGAAATAAATCAATACAAGATTAAGACCTATTGTTCAATTAACTCAATTAATCTAATCATCATAACTTTGATCAATTAGCTCCATTTAAGGCTTCGTTTGGAATGGTTTTATTGTTGTTTTCTAAAACAACTTTTTAGTACACAAATTTCTTGCATTAAAAAATCGTGTTCGAAAGCAATAAAGAAGATGTCCCAAACAAAGCCTAAATTGTTGCATTAATGCTTCAAAATCATGTATTATGATAGTGGGTAGGAGAGTCTGTTAGTAGCAGGTATTGTCACTGCATTATCAAACCATTATTGTTAGCCACAAGCCACTGACTTATAACAGATCATGTCGGCCTTACTTGAAGTTTCCTTATCACATTTTAATAAAGAGAGTATAATCTGGTGTTTTGTTATTAAAATAAATGAAAATTATTTTAACATAATTTAAAATAAGGATCGAAATATCTCCTTAAAGTCCATTAATATACCTTAAATACTCATATATTTCATATTTAGAATTATCAAATCATGTAGAATTGGATACTCCTTTGACTTTTAATAGATAAAGTTGATAATTTTATGCCCTTTTGATTCTACACTCCAGAGCAAATAGGAAGCTACTCCTTAAGATTATGCTTTGATATTATACTTACATCTTGTATATATTTTTGGAAAGATGACCAATTTAACCTCATATTCAAATTAGTAGATATGTTATGACTCATGATGAAAAATTATCACGTGCATTATCCGGACGTGTTTGGAGGCCAATCCGGACTTGCCACTTCATCCAATAACAGTGTATTGAGTAACGTGGCGTGTCCAAATCAGCCTCCGAACGCATTACACCGCAGAGAAAAAATCTCTCCTTATGATGAGCCCAACTCCCATAACTTTTTGTTCTTCTTACATTTTTTTCACATAATAAATGTATTGTACTTTATTATTTACCTTTTTTTCTAAAGGGTATTTATATGCATGCTTAAGAATTATTGTATTTTTATATATTTAATCGTCAAATCTTTATATGCACTTATTAGCATGTAAATCTTAAAATTACATAAAAATACAATAAACATTAATATATTTAAAATTACATAAAATTGTCAAGTTTATGGAAAAATAAAAAATATTCCACAAAAAAAAAATATTTAACAATTCAAAATAATTAGTAATCATTGTTAGGTATAGTTCACCGCATAATCTGATCACCACTGCCACCTATGAGAGATTCTTCTCATTATAACAATCCAAAGTTCATCGAACTAACTTCATCATTTAATTTCTTTGAACCACTAATGACAGATTCTTCTCACTAAATGGCTGTCAATTAGCTTAATTGGCTAAGTTTTTAAAGGCCGCTTTCAATATTTAATCATTTCTTATAAATCATAATTAAAATACTTCTTAAAAAATATATAGCATTAAATAAATTTATTTGGCTACTATTTTCTTACTATTTTTTCACTACTTAATAAAAAATTATGATTAAAAGCTACTTTCAGCAACCACAATAACGAAGTTGTTTACTTGAGAACAACTTCATAATAAATTTTATAAAATATTGCTCCCATTTCAAACAGATCCCAATTCCTATTTCAAAAAAAGTTTAAACCTTATTTATTTTAGGATTATTATTTTTCTTTGATTTTGAGCATGAAGGTTTCTCATGCATGATGTCTAGGGGTGTCAATATTTGATCTGATTTGAAAACTCAAACCGATTTGAAAACTCAAACCGAAACCGGTCATAAATTTTTGGTTTAGGGTGAACCTGTTTGAGAAACGAGTCATGTACTGGTTCTGGATTCCAACTCGTTTGTAAAACTGAGTTGGGTTCGAGTTGACCCGGAAACCCAAAACAAACCGGGTTGACTCGGAAACATAGCGCTTGACAATGTCTTGTCGGCGTCGTCACGTGAGTGAGTGACCGCTTTTGACATCGGCGTAGTCGCGTGAATGAGCTCGCGCCGCGCACAACGTAGTGTCCGATCGCACCTCCCATGAACTATCTGCTGCGATTCCAAACTGGTAAGCACTACGCAGCAAGCCCTAACTGTGTCTAGTCACACCACGCTGTGTCCAGTCAGGTTAGCAATCACACCGCACCACGTCCCACCTGTCGCGATTTTGCGTTCTCCAGTGATTTTTTCCCAGCCCCAGTCATCCTTGTCAGGTCGGGTTGACCCGATTTTCTTGCGATCGGGTTCGGGTTATAAAATTTTACCCTTTTATAAAAACGGGTTGAATTTAGATCATGTCGAACTATTGGATTAGATCCGTGAACTATTGGATTAGATCCGAATCTGACCCGCAACCCTTTTTTTGACAGCATAATGTTGTCCATTTATTTATAATATTGATTCTTTTTTTATTTCTTAAATTGAGCTCTAATTCAAATAAATAAAGAAACAAACAGAAAAAAAAAAAAGTTGGAGTGAGAAACTTTTTTTTTTGGGGCGTTTAGGTCATTTAAGACAAACTCACACACACAACGCATATACATGGATTCGAACCTTGAACCTCTTAGTTGGAAGCCTAAGCTCTCAACCAATAGGACAAGGAGAGATGTGTGGAGTGAGAAACTTAAGGCTTCAGCTATTTCATAAGACTTTGCAGGTTGTCAAATTGTCCTTTATTCACTGCAGCAATTGACCTTTTCCGCACGCAATCTCATTGCCATATCCATGTTTCACTCTGAACCCTGCAACCATTTCATCCGTCAATATATAAAAGGTAGAAAACATTAATAAAAATCATTACAGCAAAAATTTCTATGTTTGTAGGTGCCCAGTGCCCACCGAAACCTTGCAATTCGTTACATTCCTTATTTGGTGAATCTCCGCCCAATACCAGAACAGCAAAGGACTCTGCTTTCCTCTCTATTCATTATTAAGGCCTCTTTTTTCTTCCTCAATTCCGTATAGAGGAAGAGGGATTTGACGGTCCTCCGTTCTCCCCAGTTCCATGGAAAAACCGCTTCTTTGCCTACTTAACCTTCTCCTCTGCTTTCCCCAATTCTATGGAAGGTCTCTGAGACCTTCTAAAGTCTACGGCACAGCAGACGGATCAGAGGAATGGGGCTACGTTGAGGTCCGGCCGAGTAAGTTCTCCTCAATGAATTACAAAAAAGATGATATTTTTTTCAATTCAAGATTGAATTTTTAATTTTCTGCATTGCAGAAGCCCATGTGTTCTGGTGGCTGTACCGGAGTCCGCAGAGAGTGGAAAACAGTTCGAGTCCATGGCCGACTGTGTTGTGGTTGCAGGGAGGACCTGTGAGTTATCTTGAACTATAATAATCGTATCTTATTTCTTTTGGATTTGGCTGACTTAGCCATAATTCATGATGTGAAAGGGAGCTTCGGGCGTTGGTATTGGAAACTTTCAAGAGGTTGGGCCATTAGATACCAATCTGAAACCTCGCGATTCGACTTGGTTGCAGAGAGCTGATCTTCTTTTTGTGGCAAGTATAAAAGAGAAAAGGGGAAAAAACTTTTTTTTGATGCTCAGTGATAGAATTTCTTATGAATTAAAATTGCAGGATAATCCAGTTGGGACCGGGTATAGCTACGTAGAAAACACTTCCTCTCTTGTGAAGACTGACGAGGAGTCAGCCAGCGATTTGACTATTCTTCTGAAGAAACTCTACAATGGCAATGAAAGGCTTCAGAAAAGTCCTCTTTATGCAGTAGCAGAGTCTTATGGGGGAAAGTTCGCAGTTACTCTTGGCTTGTCAGTTGTCAAAGCTATTAAAGCTGGGCAATTGAATCTCACTTTTGGTGGTAAATGTTTCATCAAATAATGAATCTCTCTTTTTTTCTATCCTTTTTTTCTTAACGCATCAGTTCACTCCTCAACAATCTGAAATTTGTTTTATTAGGAATAGCGCTAGGAGATACTTGGATATCCCCAGAAGATTTTGTGGTTAGTGTAGATCCAATGGAGAAAATTTTGTTCTATTATTATGTATTTTAACCTTTTAATTCTCATTTGGTTTCAGTTATCCTGGGGACCGCTGCTTAAGGATGTCTCGAGGCTTGACATCAATGGAGAAGAGCAATCTAACAGGTAATTCACAGTTCATATTTCTGATAAATCCAAGTAGTAACCTCCCATCTCTGCACCAAGCTAATCTAATAATCTTTTGTCTATGTTGATTAGCTTAGCTAAGGTTATCCAGAAGCAAATTGCTGAAGGGAAGTATAAAGAAGCAACAGATTCCTGGAGCCAGCTTGAGGGTGTGATCAGTGAAAATAGCAACTCTGTAGACTTCTACAATTTCCTGCTCGACGCGGCAATGGATCCACTGGGCATGACTAGTGCTGTATCAACCGCGACGGCGGTGGCGACGCTATCATCAGTGAAGATGACCATGAGAAGTTACTCAAGGTATCTGAGCTCTAAGGCTGTTTCTACTGTTAGTCTTGATGATCTCATGAATGGTGTCATCAAGCACAAGCTAAAGATTATTCCCAAGAATGTGAGGTGAATTCCTCTTTGAATCCCAATCATCGCATTTAACCTTGTAATTAATTACCTTTTGATTTGAGCTAAACAATAAGCTATTTCTTACAGTTGGGGTGGGCAATCTGATCTTGTCTTCACTTCTTTGGAAAGTGATTTCATGAAGCCAAGAATAAATGAGGTAAACTTGCTTGTTTACTTCTGGCATTCGTTGTAAAAGGAATTTGGAACTAATTATTTTGTGACTTACAATTTATAGGTTGATGAGCTCTTGTCTATGGGAGTCAACGTAACTATTTACAGTGGACAGGTATGAATGAAATTTTTGCCTTGTTTAAAGTCATTGATACCTCTGGTAAAAGAAAATTTCTTAGGCACATCAAGTGATTGTGAAATGCACATATATGAACAATTGCACATGGACTATTCATTTTGGTGAGGGAGACCCTTTACCTTATAATAATGAGATGTCAAATTAAAGTCTTACTTTTGTGACTACACAATATAGGAAGCCCAAGCAATTATAGCAATTGCCATTTCATTTGTGTTGAAGTTTAGATTATATTGCAAAAGTTTTTCTTTTCTAAATATTTTGAGGGATCAGAGGAAGAAGAAAAGGAGAATATGGAGGAAATTCATAGATTTAGTGTGGAAATCTTGATCCTTCATTTAGATCTTGAAGGAGATCAAGACGAACAGGAAAGAAGGAAAAAATAGACGGAGAGAGCAATGCTTTGAAAGGAAAACAGAGAATGATTATCTGTCTTATTCATTGATCTCAAGTACATGGTATATATAGACTTGTTGCGGGCTAGAATATACGCGGCGGTAGAGTTAGAAAATTTTCGTCTGAACATTGTACGAATATGTAGCACACACAAACATGAGATAAAAGAACACCAGAATTTTTACGTAGAAAACCCGAAAAAGGGAAAAAACCACGGGGCCACGCCCAATTGAAAAGTTCCAGTAGTGTAGTTTGAGGTACAAGAGGCTGATTCGTCCCACAAGTTAGGACGATCAGATTACAATGAGTTTTCTTCTGAATTGAAATTCAGTTACAAAGTTATGCAGAGTTCCGGCGTCACCTGAATATCCGGCAGAATTCCGGCGTTATTCAGCCGGCGGAAAGAACTCCGGCGGTGGTCGATGAGGAGCTGATTCTCCTTCCCATTCTCTTCTTCTTTCTTGGGTCCTCTCTTATGAGAAATGAGGGGTCTATTTATAGTTTTTCTGGAGTGGCATGGCCCGTAAATAGGTGTGAGATCAGGGGCAAATAGGGAGTGGCCGAATGGACGGCTAACATTGAATCCTTCGATCGTGCACCGTTTGTTGGACATTTGAAGGCCTTAGTGATGTCGGAATTCAGTGATATTGGGTTCGTTGGATTCGTCTCGTCGAGCCATTCGATAGACTATAAGCTCGTTTAAATCGGAGACCGTTTGGTGACTCAAATTATGATACGAGCTTTCCAACAGCACTTCGGGTTCTTGATTTGGGCTCATTTTGGCTCGGATTTAGTTAAATTTAGTGTCGTTGGGTTCGTATTTCCGAGACGCTCAGTTTGACTATAAGCTCTCTGAAATCGGAGTTTAGATGCTCCCAGATTTAATTTTTGAAGTTTCCAACTTGATTTTTGCGCTGAGATTCGTGTCTGATCAAGATAATTTTATGATAACGTATCAAGACTATATGTCTAAATGGTACATAAGTAAAGTATGATAGCTAGGATCAAGAAAGTACAATGCGGCTGTTTACATTATCTAACTTGCTAATTACATATGCTAATCATTGTTACTTTCTAATACGCCCTGGCAAGCTTATGGATCAGAAATGACAGTCAGTTTGGAATAATAATAATAATTTCACGCTTGTATATTAAATTACCGCCCACGCATTTTTCATTAATGTATAAAACCCGCCCACACATTTTTCAATAATCTATAAAAGATGTCAACCGGCTTGTAATATGGGATCCAAATGGCAGAAAAACCAGATGAAAATTGGGCCAAAGAAACAATTTGAATTTCATGAAATCTTTTCTATCTGTATTAATATGTTTGTCCTCATTCAAAAATTATCCACAATTCTTATTTTGTTTTCATTGCAAAATCTTGCTAAATGGTTGCTTTTCATGTTGCTAAAATCATCCATCGAGCTACTAAGAAGTCGCTGCCTTAGCACGCATGAATAGTTACATAGCTGATCAATAGTTTCACATATGAAAAATGTCGTCCAATTGAAGAATTGCTAGGGCCAACTTGATAAGTTTTACTTGCTTGCATAGAACGAATTTATAGGTTGTATTCATCTGCTTGGGGCAAATTTTTTTGTAAGCTTCATAAATTCCTTGTGATCTGAGACCAAATTGACCCACATTGAATCGGGCTTACTTGGCTTGAACCAGGTTGTGATCAATTGAGGACTTTATAATACTAGTTTTTTTTTTTTTTTTTTGAGTATCAGATTTTTGTTTGTTGAGATATTGATTTGTTAAGTCATCTTTAAAGTTGGTCACAAGTTGGGAAATACTTTTATGAATGATTTGTTTCCACCTAAAATTAATTGGGATCCTTCGGTCTCAAGTTTGTTAGAAACGTAAGCCTGACGCCGGGGCTTTCAACTCAGTTAGTTGTTGAGTATTTTTAAGAGATTAACAAGTAGTAAGTATTATACTATTATGCAAAGGATGAATGCACGAGTCTGCATTAGCTCGAGGAATTTTGGAAGTAGATACTGGAGTTTCGGCTCTGTTTGTTTGGGAGGAACCCATTCAAGTCGGGTTTGGTTCCAACCTAAGATTGACCAAATTCAGCTCGCCTAACTCGAACCCTACCTAATTAGATAAACGGGTCATAAACCTTGACTGAAACCCTACTTGGATACAAACTGACCCAACGACCTCGGATGAGTGCGAGCGCCCAAGCGCGACTGCACGAGCAGACGAGCATGAGTGCGTGTGCGCTAGTGGCTAGTGAGAATGCGAGATTGGTGTGCGCCAGATGAGGACGTGGGGCGAGCGGGCTAGCGAGATGGGGACGCAGGATGGGGACGCGAGATTGGGACTAGGACGTTGATGCGGATGCCGACACGGGAGGGGGACGCGGATGCTAACACGTGCTGTGGGGCGAGGGGCGATTTCGTGTTAGCGGTTTGATCCTAACATGACCTGATTTTTAAAATGTGTAGAGAATTAGGACTTAAACCCCAACCTGTTTGTTAAACGGGATCACCTAAACCTGAATTTTTCAAGTTAGGTTCGAGTTGGATTTCGGGTTGAGTCGTAAATTCACTTTCTTATTGTTTTCAAAATCATTTTTTCGTACAAAAATTTCTTAAAACTAACAAAAAGTAGTTGCCAAAAGCTGTTTAGGATAGTTTTTTACTATTTTTTATGATAATTTTCTAGCACAAAAATTTCTCTACAGCCATAAAAAAACGGTGGCCTTTCCCAAAAGAAACCTAAATCTCACGTGTGTTACCAAAGGAAACCTAAATCTCACGTGTGTTAACAGTTGTTTAATATTTATATTTACATTTTGCTTTCTCAATTCATTCAAGCCAAATAGGGCTTCTATGTGTTAATTGAAGAGCTTTGAATCTGCTTGGTTTGAAGGATTTAAACAGAATGCAAATATATTTCAATTTATAATTTTATATTAGCCTTTTTATTTAAATCTAATTTATAGAAAATTAAATTTAAATAAGAAATATTAACAAATATTTTTTATAAAGAATTTATTAAAAAAATTTGGCTCAATATGCACCATAATTGAATGGTATCACAATTGTACAAATTAAATAAATAATTGAATAAATTAATTTTTTCTATTAGAAAATCAAACAAATGTTATATAAAAAATATAATTTTAAAAAAATTTATTATTAAAGTTCTTTTTATTTATTTTTTTTAAAATTATTTTTGTATTCATCTACAGCTCCGTCCGGCACATCATTATTTTTTCATTCAAAATATGAGAATTTTGTGCATTATTTATTTGTTTATCGTTAAACATGCTAATGACATGTATGTCAACATGACATGGCCGCATGCGTCAGATATTATTTATTTTAATAATTTATTTATTGATGCATTATAGAGTATATTTTTTCCCATTAAGTATCCTAATACAGATATTTTTACTTAACTCATTTGATGGCCTAACACTGGGTTTATAATTTATTAATGGAATTTCCTTCACCATTGAATAACGAAAGCATGAGTGGTCCATAAAATTATATGGCACAAAATTTCCAGCCTCACTAGCCGCTTTCCCATGTCATTGTCATCACTAAGGGTATGTTTGATTACTTGAAAAAGAAATGCAGTGAAATTAAAATTGAAATATGATAGAGTTGTTTAGTTGAGTGTAAAATAAATGCAGGATTTTGTTATTATATTTTGTTTGACATGAAGTAAAGTGAATGTAGTGTAAAGTGAATGCAACGGTAGACATTAATGGGCGTGGGAGTAGCTAGTGGCAACCTACAGTGGCGGGGGGCCGATGGTGGTCGACAATGGTGGGAGGCCACCAGTGGTGGAAGGGGTTGCCATCAGTAGCAGGAGGCCACCGATTTTGGCGAGGTTGGTCTGCTGCAGTCAACGGTGGCAGGAGGCCTTTTGGGGTTGCAGGTGGCAGGAGGGGGCCGGCGGGTGGCAGGTGGGGGCCAACGGCTGACTACTGGCGACGACGGAGGTGACAACAAGTGGTGAGTTTCGAATGTATTTTGAAATCCCCAAAATCTGAGTAATTCCAAATACACTAGGTTTAAACTAGATGGTGAATTACTTTATAAAATTTTACTTTACATTCCTTTTATTGAAAACAAAACACTAATATGTTCAAAACTCTTGCATTTGGAATACATTTCACTCATAATGTAGCAAATCAAATAGCCTCTAAGAGTTTAATTAGAACAACAATAGCATTTTATAAAGTTGGTTGCACTGCCGCCCATCCTAAAATTGTAGAAAAGAATAAGAATAAGAGGGGTAGTTTCGACCTTTCTCACCCTCGCACCCCCGAAAATTAAATTTTTTTGCTCTAATCTAAAGCATTTTCCCAAATCCCACCTCGAGTTCTTGACGCCTTCGTTCGGCCTCTTCATGCATGTGAAATACCGACATAGCCAGACTAAGCCGGGAAGTGCGAGGTTACTCGAAGCTACTCCCTTCACATAGGTAATCTACTCACCCTTTGGCATTTGCTCTTGTCGTGTGAGCTTTAGACCGCCAAATCTGATTGTTGTTTATCTTTCTTGCTTTCTTGCTACTTTAGTCTTTAAATTATTTCCTTTTTTTTATGGATTACAAATGAATTATCACAAGTCCTACAAAGAAAAGATCAGGATATCATAAATGCAATGAAATTAGTACGTGTGTCCAAGCAACGATTGCAAATGATAAGGAAAAATATATGAGAGTCTTTACTAGAAAAAAGTGTTACGTTTTTATAATGTTTAACATTGTAGTTCAAAATATAAAGCCTATATTCAAGGCTCGTCGACTTTCACAAACTTTCATCATTATCGAGTTGATTTATTCTACACTTTTGTTAATATGCAACTTCAAGAATTGAATAATCGGTTCTCAGAAACTAGTACCGAATTACTTGTTTATGTGACATATCTAAAATCAAGTAATATATTCTCTGCTTATTTTTTCCAGCTGATTTTTCTATGGTTGATCTTGTGTCTCTTGAACATTAGCTATCTACTTATATAATTGATATGCGTATAAATGACGAGTTTACATCTTTGACCGGCATTACTGCTCTTGCAAAATAGTTTGTAAAGGTTAGAAAAAATATTGTGTATCCTCTAGTTTACTGACTTCTTATTTTAGCACTGGCTTTACCAGTTGTTAATGCTACAGTTGAGAGCATTTTCTGTAATGAATATTTATTAAGCATCGGTTGCGTAGCAAAATGAGTTATGCTTGGCTCAATGACTGTCTAGTTCTATACATTGAGAATGAATTATTTGATTATGTTTCCAATGAAGTTATTATGCAACATTATTAAAAAATGCAAAGTATGATGTAAAGTTTGTAATTTTTTTAATTCATAATTATAATGAAATATAAGACTTTGCTTAAAAATTTAGCTTATATATAATTTTTCATATTTAACTTTTTATATATTAACTTTGCCCACCCTAAAAAATAGGCTATATTCTCCCTTGGTTGTTTATGATGTTTTTGTGGGGAAAATAACTTAGGCTTTGTTGGTGACAACTTTTGGCCACTAGTTTTTTGCCACTTTCTAAAAAATTTTGTACTAATAAGCTATTTTATAAAATAGCAAGGAAGTTGTTCCAAATGAAATCTTAGCTATTCTTGTTGCAAAAAATAACTTTTCGTCATAGAAATTTCTAAAAAATAGTTAAGAAAACATAAAAAAAAAATAATAACGTAATAAAATTATATTTGTTATTTAAAACATAAAATAATGATAAAGCTCTTCCAAACAAATCCTAAAGGGCAAGCTTTTCTCATCAATTAGTCCAACTTTTGAATACGTACATATTCAATTAGTCCAACTTTTGAACGAGTAGCAGTTACTTATTACTCAGCATAGCAGCCAAAGATTTTGTGCTTTAATCCTTTTGCCTCAGTTGTGTTTGCTTTGAAAAGCTTCAGATTGATTTACTGCAGGTTGATCTTATTTGTGCAACAAAAGGCACCGAAGCTTGGATCCAGAAGCTCAAGTAAGACATTCATCACTTAAGGCTCATACAAACAACTAAGGCTTCGTTTGGGGCAGCTTTCTTATTGTTTTATAAAACGATTTTTTAGTATTAAAATTTTTTGCACGAAATTTTTTTATATTAAGAAGTTGCTTAATTTTTTTATATTAAGAAGTTGCTTTAGAAAACTGTAAAAAAATCGTCCCAAATAAAACCTAAATTAGCTCTAAGCTGCATGCTTGATGATGATGAGTAGTAGTAGAATAGTCCCAAACTTTTCAGCTTGATTAATCCATTGTGCTGTGCTTTGGTTTTTCTCAGATGGAAAGGGCTACAAAATTTTAATAATGCAAAACGGGAGCCCATATATTGTGAAAACGAGATAGTTACAAGGGGTTTTTTTAAAAGCTACAGCAATCTGCATTTCTATTGGATACTGGAAGCAGGACATTTTGTAAGTTGCTCCATGCTGCAATATTATTTATTTTCTTCATATATTTATTAAATTAAGGCTTCGTTTGAGACGGCTTTTCTTACTGCTTCTTAAAACAACTTTTTAGTTTATAAATTTTAATTTTTTATCAAAAAGCTGTTTTTAAATAATAATAAAAAAGCCGTCTCAAATGAAGCCTAAAACTAATGTGTCACGTCTGGCTCAAATTGAAATTGGATCGAGTTAATCCTTTATCAGGTTGATTCAATGCTAAATTGTTTATAACAGCTGGCTTAAATAAAATTTAAGGTCTGTTTCGGATGACTGCACCGTTTTATAAGATTAGTTGTCAAGTTACTGTGGAGAAAATAACTTCAGTACTTAGGTTGAAGAAAGCAGTTTTCCTTCACAAAATTTTTTGGAAGTTGTTAGAAAATAATAAGCAAAGTAATAGTCAAATGAAATTCTAATTGCTCTATATAAAGCAAAGGAGCCAGAAAGCTCTCTCAAATAGATCCTTAGGCTTCATTTGAAACAACTTTTTTGTTACTTTATAAAACTGATTTTTAGTTAAAAATTATAGTTCAAGAAATTTTTGTGCTTGAAAGTCGTTTTAGAAAGCAATAAAAAAATTGTCCCAAACGAAGCCTTGATCTCAAATAATCATAGAATTAGTAAGAAAGGAAACAAGATTTTCATAACTGATTTGCGAGATTTGGTACCTTTTTTGTTTCTCAGGTGCCAGTGGACCAACCATGCGTTGCATTAAGGATGTTAAGTGAAACCACCCAATCTCCTGCAAGGACATCTGCTGCTTCATCTTAGAGAAAAAATCTGTCATTTTTAATAACCTCCAATTTTTTTAAAAAAAAAAATTTATGTGGTGGAGGAAAGCATGACATTTTTTTTTCTTTTTAATTGCAATTTTTTATTTGTCTTGTCACTTCTTAAATAAATAAATTCTCAAATAAAAAATTATTTAATTTAATGTCATGACAGTATGGCATATATTTATTTAAATTTTGTTATATTTTTGCTTTTTGATTTATATAACATATAGGATTTGTTTAGGAGGTTACAACAAATTTGCATTAAAAAAAGAAGAAGAAGAAGAAGCTATGCACTATTTCTTGGAACGAATGCATAAAGGTGGCTTAAGGCTACCTTCTCTTGATATTCTAAATATGATATACGAAATGGATTTTAGATTCCCTACTTGGTGTTTAAACTCTCATGGCTCTATGAAAAGAAAAAAGTATTATGTGCGGAAGCCGAATCATGACTGAATACTTGAGCCCGCGGCTTGGTACCACAGTACTGGGGTTCGGTACTGTTCAGTACCATGGCTCGGTATCACTAACGTGGCTCATTCTTATTGGTATTCAAATATAGAGCTGTGTTTGACGTCCGTACAAAATAATGTCTCTGTGGAAAATAAAGAATAGAGAAAGGAAAGGCGAAAAGCAAGAACAGGAAAAGTAGAAAGTAATGAAATATATTTTCTGTGTTTCACCGAGAGGGATACATGGATATATATAGAGCTTTCACAGCTGAAGCCTTCTTGCAAACTAATGAATAAATGACACGTAAGCGCGAATATAATAAATACAATATTTAACTGTTTTTATATTCTAATATCCCCCCGCAAGCTGATGGATCTTTGGAGACCGTCAGTTTGGATCTGAGCATCTCAAACCTAGGTGTTGATAGAGCTTTGGTAAGAATGTCTGCGGTTTGATCAACAGTACTAATTGGTAGGAGACGAATGTGCTTTTGGTTAATGTGGTCTCTTATAAATTTTTGGTCGATTTCTATATGTTTGGTCCGGGCATGGAACACCGGATTGTTTGCTAAAACTATGGCTGACGTATTGTCACAAAACGTGTCTGTAGGGTTCGTTTGATGTGCACCAAAGTCTGAAAGTAAGCGTCTGAGCCAGATGATATCTGCAGTAAGAGCAGCTAGAGCTCTATATTCTGATTTGGTTGACGACCTGGCTACTGTATGTTGCTTTTTAACTGTCCAAGAAATGAGGGTATTTCCTCCTATGAAAACAACATGCTATTGGTGCTTCCTTCATCTGGAAGTCACTTCATAGCTTTGTTGCTAGAATCCGCAAATGGTTGACTTGTACCATTAAACCTAATAGCAACTTTTGCTTCCTCTATGACCCTAGGCTTAATGGCTCTTGGCTCTTCAATCATTTGAAATTTTTAGTAATTTGAAGTTATTGTGATATTATGTCAATTAGAGGTGTAAGTGAGCCGAGCTGGCTCGAGCATGATTCATTAAGGAGCTCACGAGTTGAGCCGCTCGATTAACTTAAAAAATATATCTAAAAAAAATTTAAATTAGTATTATATAACATATTTTAATTTTTTAAATTAATTATATATTAAAAAAAACTAAATTTATTAGTTAAAACTGAGAAATTGAGTTCAACAATCGATTCAAGCATGTACAATCAAGCTGAGCTCAAGCCTATGAACTTTTTAACAAGATAAGCTTGAGCTCAACAAAAATTAAATAAATTAGTTGGATTAAAGGAATACTTGACTCGTTTATACCCTTAATGTCAATTCTACTTCAAACAGTTTAAATATTGCATTGAGTTGGTCCATCCTGATTTTCCCTCTAACTGCCCCTTTTATACGGTTCTGAAATTAATGGGAAGCTACTTCAAAAGTTTAAATATTGCATTGAGTTGGTCCATCGTGATTTTCCCTCTATCTGCTCCTTTTATACGGTTCTGAAATTAATGGGAAGGATTGATATCTTAGTAAGGTATCTAAGAGTTTAAGCGAACTCACATGGCACGCAATTATTACACGCAAAAACAGTCCACCAGTTGAGATGAATTCATTCTCGCACATGTGGTCTTTTTTTATAAAAAAAATTTACTTCTTTTATTTTTTAATAAATATCTTATATTTTTCTAAAGTGTGATTTCTCTTTCATAAATAGAAATCTTTGTTTTTTTTAACATTTATGTCAGTTGAGACAAATTCATACGCACATCACACAAACATGACTTGAACCCATTACCTCTTAGTTGGAAGCCTAAGCTCCCAACCAACAAATCAAGTTGAGCTGTGTGTTCTACAAGTTATTTGTTACTCGGCTCAATCATGACAATAGTATTTCAGCTCCACCTCTCTTACACTGCAATTGAAATTCAAACCTGCCATCGCTAGAGCCTGCCGCCACCTATATTAATCAATTATCCACTTTATATAACTACCTATGGAATTTTAGTACTTACATCTTCTTCTCCTAGTTTACAATATAAGGTTTCTTCTAAGTGTAATACACATGAATGAATGTAATGGTTTACTGTCCATCCTCAGATTTCATTTCATTTCTTTCTAGGTTGTCTATGTGCGTGATGTTCAAACAGTGAACTTCAACATGGTATCAGAGCCGCACACCTAACGGCTCATTCATTCATCTTCAATGGGTGATTCCGCCGCGTCTGCACTGAACACGGCTCTGGCTCTCACATCAAATATCCCCACATCAACTGATGTCCTCATTCCTCCCACCCTTATGTTCCTTCTCTCCAACATCAAGAACGTTATCAACGTTCAACTTCTTTCCGACAGCTATCCTACATGGCAATCTATTATTCAGAAACTCTTTGCAGCAAACCATTTTTTCAGGTATCTTGAAGGAAGTTTGTTGTGTCCTCCCAAACATTTGCTCACAACCAAAAACCAACTCACCCTTAACCCCCAATTCTCCTTCTGGACATTAATAAACCAAAATATTTATGTTGCCCTTTTCTCTACTTTTTCTTCATCTATACTTTCCTATATACTCAACCTTGATTTCTCAACATCGATCTGGAAGACACTTGAACATCGCTTCTTCTCTACTTATCATTCTCGAGCTATCCAACTCAAGAACGAGCTTCTCTCTCTCTCTCTCTCTCTCTCTCTCTCTCTCTCTCTCTCTCTCTCTCTCAATGCACAACAAATCTATGACAAATTACATTGCTTTTGCAAAAAAGTATTGTCGACAACATCCAAGCTATCGGCGACATTGTCGACAATGAAGATATTCTGCTTTACATCCTCAACGATCTTCCTCCATCGTATTAATCTTTTAAAATGACTATTTGGAATTCCCTTCATCCTATCAATTTGGATGACTTATATTCACTTTTTTTTTCTAGTGAAGAAGTCAATCAAACTACTAGTGCATTTAAGGAATTATCCCTATCCAATTCTTCATTCCCGACCAACACTTTCACTCTGATATCCAATCGCGAACATTCTCGCTGGTGTTTCATGTCATATCGTGGTCGACAACAACCCACCTTCAACACTCGTTCCTCTCTACCACCTAGTTTTAATGGTGATTGTCAAATTTGTGGCAAACACGAACTCTCCGCTCTTACTTGTTGGCATCAGGATAACTTCCAATACATTCCGCCAGTATCTTCCTCCACAGTCATGCTTCTTAATAATTTAGAACCTTCTCCATGGTATTGAACATTTAATAGCTGATCCTCATCCTCTACAACAACCCACTCCTTACTTAGGAAGAGACCATGTCTTTGCTGTAAACGATACCTCCCTTCCTATACAACACTATGGTAATGATTTGTTCCCAACTCCCATACATAGGCTTACACTCAAGCCTTTACTTCACGTTCCTAATCTCACCCATCGCCTCCTCTCCATTTCCAAGTTAATCAATGATAACAAATGTTCCATTGTTTTTTGACAAAAATGGTTTTCATGTAAAGGATCAAAAGACCCATGGTACTCTTCTTCACGGCCCGTGCCATAAAGGTCACTGCCTCGTAATCCTCAACTCTCCTCCATCTCCACTCATTGTTGTAGTAACCATCGTCGCCACCTCGTCTTCCACTCTTCTCTAGCACAGATGCTTAGGCCACCCAAGCTCCGATATACTCACCACTATATCTAAGTCTTTTCCCTCTTTATGTATATCCTCCTCTACTTCTATTTGTAATTCCTATGCTATTGGCTACAATCCTCCCACTAGAAAACTCATCATATCTCGCCTTGTGCTCATTGATGAAGCCACTTTTCCCTCCAATTCTACTAGTCCCACTAATATTAATCCTCCACCACCTCCCTCTGCTGCACCAATCTTTCCCCCTACTAACAATTCAACTATGATTCACAATCTCTCTCTGCCTCAAAGCTCTACAAGTTCCCCAACCATTACCAAATTCCCCAATTCCAATTCGTCTATGTCCCCCGTAGTCTCAACATCTCATTCCACTTCTCCATCTTCATCCACTTCCTCATCTCCCACTCTTCCACCCCTTAACATCGTCAAATCTACACATCCCATGCTAACTCGCCTCCATACAGGTTCACTCAAACCACACATCATCTTGGATCTTCATCACACTCGTTCATCTACTCCCACTTGCTTCTCTGATACTAATAAAATTATTGAATGGTGTCAGGAAATGTCAGCTGAGTTTAAAGCACTTCAAGCTCAAGGAACCTGGTCCCTTATTCCTCCTCCTGCCAATCAACTCCCGCCAATCAACACATTATCTGTTGCAAATGGATCTACAAATTCAAACGCCTCACTGATGGCTCTATTGCTCACTATAAAGCTCGCCTCGTTGCTCAATGGTTCAAATAAGAATACATTCTTGATTACCATGAAATGTTTAGCATAGTTGTCAAACTTACCACCATCCGCCTACTTCTCATTATTAACATGCATTATGACTAGCCAATATTTCAACTTGATGTTGTTAACGCTTTCCTCCACAGTACCCTTGATGAAACCATATACATGGCTCAACCGCAAGGATTGCAAGATCCTACTTATCCAAACCATGTTTGTCGTCTACATAAAGTCATATATGACCT